AGAATCTGTCTCTCTTTCCAGGAGCTGTATAGTAGAGAGTGCAGTGGGGATCTTTGACTTAGCCTCCCAATAATATATACAGTTAATCGGGTGATTGGTGGAAAGAAGCAGAAATTAACAGTGTACTTATTTTTATAATGTAAAGGCAATTGGATGCCACAAATGAGGAGCGTACAATTGCCTAGACAGAATATAAATAGAGAATGATCAAAATAGCCATTAATTGCCTCTGGGAAAATGTCACCTACTCCATCCTCCAGAAGACATTGAGGAGTTTGTATACTGAACAAAACTGACACAATAAAAAACAATTCATTATGGGTTCTGCTTCTCCTTTTCTGCCTCTGCCCAATATGGCTTGAGGGGAAGCAACTGAGACCCTCTAGCCCTGGCACCTGCTGGAGTCAAGGGGGAATTGGACATCTGCATAATTCCATGCTGTACAAAACTCAGGTCCACTCTGGAGTTAAAGAAAACCAAGAAGTTCCCCTCCATAAAGAGACTTGAATTTACCAATATTTTTAAACACACCTTTCTTTTGTGACAGCATACAATTGGTCAAAATGTCAGTTATTCCATTATTGTGCGTCAGCCACGAAGGAAGAAAATGGGAGCAAAGGTGACTATAATCTGAAGCTCTGGCTCCCCGGCATAAATTAGAGCATGTTCAGGACTGCCCTAACTTCCTTTTTGCTTTCCATGCCCCCAGTAGGTCCTAAGAAGCGGATAATTGCTGTATTGCAAAGCACTTCTGTCATGTCTGGACACATTCATTGTAGGGCAGGGCACACCACCCCTGACTGTCCCTGCAACTGGGAACAGGGCCAGCATTGAGCCCTTATGCAAGTTCAAAATTGGTTGGGGAAGCCCTCTCCAGAGACGATATTATCAGGGAATTACGTTTGCCCCACTGAAGGCCCCTTCATGCTACTAGAACAGTGTCTGGGGGTTTTAGTGCTTTGAGGTAGGGCTGCTTTTGTGGCTCCACAGCCACTAGCAGCACCACTTCCCTGCCAGAGGTATGTGCACTTGAGGGGTGGAAGGAGGAGGGAAGTGTGAGAACTCCACACTGATTGGGTTTAGGGGGAAGGGAGGAGAATGTGGGTCAGGGCAGTGGAAGTCACATGAAAGGGGAAAGTTGAGCTTGCCCTATCCTCCCTTGGCTGCTACTACGTGTGGGATTTGGCTGAATTTTTCTTCTCCTCTGATGGGTCATGCCCCATGGGTTTAGAAACACTGTTCCAAAATGTGTTATCATGCAAGCAGCTACATCAGCAGTTTTCTAACTTTTTGAGCTGAGTTACAATTTTTGGTTGCACTCCTGCCCCCAACCCAGACAAACATAGATACATGGAAAAGTATGCTTGATCACCTACTCATAAACCTAACAGAGATCTTAACAACAGCTTTAATTAAATTAACTACACCTGTAAGTTTCAAATACACAGATACTTACCAATGGCACAGCCAAGGCTTCCTCAGCAGTGGGCTGCTTCTACTGTGCAGCCACGCTGCACTGCAAGGGCAGGGCCAATTCATGCTACTCTCCCCCACCCCCTCAAATTTTCAGGCTGGGGGAAGGCGCATGTGACAGTCTCTGGGGGCAGAGCCAGCACTGAGCGCAAAGGCTGCTGGGAGCAGAAATCCACATGGCCGCAGGGGATGTTGACACTGACCCACAGGCAAAGTGGCCTGCTAAGGTGAGTCAGGTGGTGCTCCCTTCCCACTCCCTGTGGGGACTAGCCGGAGCTGCCTGGAACATCATCCTCCCCTCCCCCGAACATTCTGCCCTGCTCCCCTGGGGGAGGGGCATGCCCCATGGTTTGAAAACCTCTGAGTTAAATTCCAGTAAGCAATGACTTTGTAAGCAAGTGCGGCCCCTGTTATGAGCTCAGCATAGCTTACATGAAACCATGGACATCAAAACTGGTTTTCTTGAAAGTGGAAATTTTCACCTTGGAAGGGTAACCAAGACTCTTAGATTAACTCTTTCACTGTTCAAAACCTGCCATGCTGTTGCCTCTGTAATCGCCAGCTATGAGATGCTGAAATTTCAAATTAACATCTCAGAGTCTCTAGCAATGCTGCACTTGCCTAATAATATACTGCAGTGTCCTCATTGGTTATAAGCCAAAGTCTTTGTGAAGTACTTGACCTCAGGAACTTCTCACTCAAAGTTGAAAGTGCTTCCTACTGAATCATTTATGGACTATGAGACACCTGAATTTTAAACACTGGTGTTTATTTACAGCTGTAATTAGCAAGATAAAATGTAAACACTAGGGTTTTGGAGAGAAGTTTATTTTCCCACATTTTACATATCCCTACTAATGTATTATGGTAAAATTTACCCATCAGAAGAGGAGCACCTCAGATCCCTCCACAGTCATTGCATACAGGAGGCACTCGCTGAATTATTGCAGAGAAGTATGCGTGCCAGGGTGGTGAACTCCAGGATATCTACCAAAATACAAGTATAGAGGGTGCTGGGGTCAGGCTACGGGAGCAGCATCTGGCTCCGGGTTTATGCTTACCCAGTAGCCAGGAACTAGCATACAGCCTGAAGCAGCAGTGGTGCAATACAGCCCCCTGATTTCCCTTGTGTTAAGGAATGAGATCTTCCTTCCACAGCCTGCATTTTATTCCTTCCAAAAAGCCTCTGTGCTTTGGCTTTGTGCTTGGGTGGGAAGAATTTCACTTATAACAGGCAATTGATGTCCATTTTGCCATGTCTGCACCAGTTTGGGTGAGTTAGCAATTCCCCCTGT